GGTCTATGGTATTCAAATTACCACAGGTTAATGCAGCTGGAGTGACAGTGGAATGAACACAAAATCAGTGCATGGAGTTCATTCTGAACATAGTAATATAATGGGAGACAGGAAGCAAATTAGATGCTAATCTTGGCCTCTACCCAACCATGCAGTAATTCCCCCCTCCCACTGTTGGTTACTGAGTCCCTTAAAACGTTTGTTACAAGTATGGTCAACAGGACAAAGGAGGGAATACAGAGAAACCCATTTCCCCTCCTAAGAACATGTATCCTTCAGTATTCAGAATATGTGGCTAGATACAGGCAGTTTTATAGTTTCTATAAAACCAATCTTTTGTTACATTTTATAGAGTAGCTACTGCTCAAAAGGTGTTCATGCTCATCAAACAATTGGCCAATCAACTTAAAAATTCAACCTTCCCCAAGCTTGTCAAAATCTTTCCAAATGTACACAATAAAAACAATTCAAGTATATTTCGGAAGTACCATAACAAAAAAACCCCCACATGCAAGAAGATTAAGATCTACATTTGGATGTTTAATAATTTATAGCCAGCCTGTATTCCTCTGATGCACCAATCTTTGTCTGTAGAATTACATGCACTTTGGCAAACTAATCCAATGACCTTTAATGCATTAAAGTAACATGTATGCTGTTTCCCTTCAGCTGCTTTCTTTAATTGCCAGCAACAGCTGAAATATGGGATCTAGAACTAGAGTTCTGAATAATCAGAATCCTCTCTCCCCTCCTCATACGTAAAACTTTACTTTAAAATCCTACCATTTGATGTAAACTAAACTCTCTTTAGACTCAAATGAAAAGGGGAAAAAACCCACAACATTTCTAAAGACAAGAAAGCATTCTAGGGTGACAAATACGTAGACAAATACCTAGAAAGCATTCTAGGGTGACAAATACACGTTGATAGGGATGTGCATTTCGGGATCCCGAGCCGAAAAAAAGCCGAAAATAACGTTTTTCGGCTTTTTTCGGCTTTTGGGATCCCGAATTAGCAATTTATGTGCTTGTCCGAATCCCGAAAAAAAAATCCCGAAAAAATTCGGGAATTTTGAAAAATTCGGGTCCATTATAACCAATGGGGCCATTGAAGTCAATGGCTAAAATCTTCTTGAAAATTTGTGGGGGGCTGGGGGGGAGGGGGTTTGGTGTAGAGGCTCCAAACTTGGAGCGTGCTTACTGGAACCTCTCCCCAACATACCCACCAAGTTTCAAGACGATTGGACCAGGGGGTACAATTTTATGAGCCCCCAAACAGGTTGCCCCCAGATCAGCTTCCTGCAGTTTATTCCCGGTTTGCCGCCGAAATTCGGCGGCAATTCGGCAACATTGTATCCTATGGACCTTGGAGTGGGTAAGCTCCAAACTTGGAGGGTGGTTACTAGAACCTCTCCCCTACACCAAGTTTCATGAAGATTGGACCAGGGGGAATCATCGAGAGGGGTCCCACGTATGCTACCTCTAGGATTTCCAAAGCGGAGCGGACTAGTAGTCATCTCTCCTTA